TTCCATAAGAAGCAATATATTTTTGTTTTTTATTGCTTAGGTTACCGGCAATCTGTACAATCCGGTATTCTATACAATACCTAGGTAATGCATAGAATACCTAAACGTGTATGTATGAAATATTATTTGTTTTATACTTTGCCTAAGTATTTTATACAATACCGAATGCGCAACCGGTAATGCATATAAAAGACGAGAGCAACGCACGGTTTTGCTCTGGGGGAGGGGTGGCTTCCAGCAATATCAGCTGCAAGCCAAAACTGGAGGGGTGTGAATGGTGGTTTTCCGCAATAGCTTTCTTCGTTGAAGGTTAAAATCCCATAAGAAAACGGACGGGGTAGCACCCAAACCAAAACAACTAAACGTAAGGTACCAAATAAAAAAGGTACTTCTCCATATACTGGTGTTTGGGGGTCTATTATCCCAGAGTCTGGAAATTAACGAAACGAAGCCCACACCACAATCTCCGCAGGCAAGTAAAAAAATTGTTGATTGTAATAAAGTTGATTTTAAATAACATAACTTGTTTCATTTGCCCGACATTTTATAAGTATGCCGGTTAACATTGATAAATTTAGACCAAGATCTATTTATTTTACACATTACCGGCGGAACAGCAGGTACTTTATACAATCTCCAGGAATTGTATTCAATACCTACGTAAAGTATGTAATGGATAATAATATTCATAATATTTCATATGTAGCCTGGGCAACCCAGGTATTCTAAACATTACCTGGGTATTGTATAGATTACCTTAATTATACAGATTACCAGTAACATTTATATATATATATATATATATATATATATATATATATATATATATATATATATATATGAGCTAAAGCCATTTCATATAAAATAAAGATTTCAAATTGATAAAACTCACCGAGAACCTGATTTTGCAACAGCACATCTTGCCAAACAAGACAACTCTGACTACGCTGTGCGCACTCCACACTGTTTAGGGAGAGCTGTCCGACTGATCGATGACATTTCTCTAACAGACGATCTCGGAACCCTTTCCTGAGTTTTACCAGTTTTACATTAGACGGTTCAAAAATCGAATTAGTATGATATCTTTGAGCTCCTTATAGCAGTTGCTGTGCCTCGATATTTAGATTTCTGATGAAAATCTTCAGAATCATTTTTCTGCTTAGCCATACTCCCAGTAAATGTATACTGAGTATTTTTTAGTTGTAATAATCATTCGTATAGCTTAAAATATTTCCAGTATAGTAAAAGTAATATACAACCATTTGTTACAAACAATATTTCCCTCAATGTCAAGTTATGTGAATATCTAAACTATAGTGACGGTACAATGTCGCAGAAAAGAAATTTCTAAACCACAGACCCATATCCCGGGTGGAAAATAATTTGATTCCTTAATGTCTGCCACGACTATGAAGAATGTAATATGTAGCATGCTGTCAAAAAATTTTCATCACTTGTCTAGTTAAACTTTACTAACAGCACCCCAGAGCGAGCTTATTGGGAAACTTCTAGCTTGTGGGGATAACGGAACAGACAAAGGCTTTATTAAGATTATTTTTCACTTTTGCCTTGCTTTTGGAAGCGAGGTAAAGGTATTGTAGTCTGGAAATTCTTGTGAAAACTCGTAGAATCAGAATATGAGATTGGTTTGCCTTATCCAGGTTTCACATCAGTAATTTTTTCACGAATTTATTCAGACGAATTTCTCCAAGGTGTTCCTAATTATATTGTGCAATGCGTACATCCCTCGAACAAATCCATGGATCATATGACAGTACACAGTACTGCCAATAGTGCCAACTAACACAACAAATTCTTTCTAAAAACATTTTGAGTTTTTATATGCATTGTGGGTCTGATCTTTAGGTGAATTTCACAATCAGAATCCATGCTGTTGAATTATGTAGTTCTATCAAAGTTCTGTACCTAAATTGAATATATGTTAATGGCAAAGAAAACAAAGGTGGAACCTTGGAGTTTGACCTCCAACTTGGGAAAAATTAGAATAGGCTCTAAATGGGTAAATAAACCCACGAAAAGTTATTCGATATTCCAATAAACAACATCGATGCTGACCATCGATGGTAATTTTTGCATAACAATAAACACAATAAAAGGCTAAAACCAAATTAAACTTATTTCAGACCCACCCAACCTAATTTTAGAAATTTTTGTCAGCTCATTTTCTATTCATTTGTTTGTCTGGGCGGTCCGTAGGACCTTTGCCCATTAGTCACTGTCTAATGTACGTTAGTCGAATCTGTCAGTCCTGGTTGCCCAGAAACCAGACAATGTCAAGGAAAAGGAGAAAGGGAAAGATAAGAAAAAAGGAGAAGAGCAAAGAAAAACAGAGGTGTTTAGTTTAAAAGAAAACACCTAGGTTTTTTGACTTGGTACACGGATTAATTTTGAGGTAAACTAAACAAATTTTGATTCGATTTTGTTGGAGTGTCATTTTAAGTTTACTAAAAGTTCGCGCTAATTTTTTATTACATTGCGAGCCTTGGCCCTGAATGCTTACGAACTTGCTCCACAGTGAAGTCCACTGAGTCGCGCAACAGAGGGTTGCTGTGCGATCTCGCTTGACTATAACGTCGCTGCGCTTGAAGCTTGACATAATCCCTCAAGTAAGGAATGTCAAGGTCTCTGTGTAGTGTCTCGTTTGGGACATACCATGGAGCGTTGTAAATTGTTCGCTAAGTTCTACTTTGCAGTACTTGAAGACTTTGCATGTGTGTCTTGGCAAGAAAACACCAAGCTACACATGCATAAGTAATGGAAAAAGGATTTGAGTAATTTTAGAAGTCAAAAAGGAAAACCCTTTTCAATTGGTTTTTAAAAGAGGCCCGCGTGCCACACCTTGTCAAAGGCTTTTGAGACATCCAAAAGCAAGATGCCTGTACTCATGCTGAGGGTGAACCCTCTGGTTACATGTTCAACCAGTCTGACTGTCTGTAGCTCGGTGCTATGCTCGGACCGAAAACCGAATTGAGCGTCAGGAATCACGTGGTGATTTGACGAAAAATTGTCAATATGGCGATAACTCACCTTTTCGGCGAGCTTAGGAGGTGACAGCAGACTAGTGGGACGGTAATCCTGAGGAAATATCGAACCCACCTTCTTTGGAATCATGATGACCTCAGCAGTCTTCCACCCCTCAGGTAAGTGCTGGGTTCTGAGCATCGCATTGATTATTGTCACCAAATATGTCAAAGCTTTCGGCGAGAGCAGCTTCAGCGCCTTGTTGGTGATTTGATCCTTCCTAGGTGCTTTACGCACCTTGAGGTGTTTAATAAGCGCTAGGAGCTCCACTTGAGTGCAATGTGGAACCTCGGAGGGTTCTTGTAATGTGCTATGCGAAGCCTCAGACGATTCTTCTGAAGAAGAGTAATCTGAAGAGGATACAGTGCCTCCGCTAACGCCGTTGGCCCTAAAATATCTCCTGATGGATCTTACAATGTGTTGTTCCTCGTCGAGGTCATTATTAAGATCATAGTTGGGAGAGAACTGTTTTTCCATGGCGTCAGCGAAAACCTCGACCTTATCCTCTGTTCTGAAGACTATGCCTTCAGGACCGTGGATGTGCGGAAGTTATTCTCGCTTTCCGTTTTTGAGTGACTTTGCGACCCTCCAGAGAGGAATACTTGAATCAAGCATTCCCGCCAGAAAGTCGCTCCATTGCCCATTACGGAATTCATGGAGCGCGTTTCTCACTTCATGGACAAGATTCGTAGTCCTACGAATATCATCAGGATGGCAAGATATTTTTGAATGCTCTTGGCAGCGATTTTCTGACGAATTTTCGCAGGCAAAAAAGGTCGGCTCTGTAGTTGTACAGGAAGTACAGCTGCACGCTATAGAGCTGTTTGAATGAAACTTGTCCACTCCGCTTGAGCGACATCTATTCCAGTCGCATCATCTATGATCTGGATATTGGGAAACTCTCTAAGGAACAACTTGTATAGCTCCCAATCAATACGTTTTCTTGGAGGAGCTTCCTCCTCAGAAGTTTGCCCATTGCCTAGATCCAAGACAACAGGTAGATGATCACTAGAGATATCATACAAGATTCGAGAGACACTGTATCTACAGTTTTTAGATATCGCGAAGTCAATGACATCTGGTGCCTGAAGATGGTTGAATGGGTGGTGTGTCGGCTCTCCAGTGCTATGTATAAGGTACCCCTTTCGTATCACATGGTTGTACAGTCGAATCCCACTCGTGGAATTCAACCTGGAATTCCATGCTCGATGTTTGCAGTTGAAGTCTCCTGCCACAGTAAGTCGACCCGAGTAGTCCATAAGGACTTCCAGATCCGCCTCTTGTCGCCCTGGCACCACACCTGACGTACACCGATGTGATCTTCAACGGGACACCTCCCGCCATATAGTCCACCACAGAAGCTGCTTCGATGCTATGCATCTCTGCATACGTGCCTCTATAATAGTTAGTACCGCGTTTAATCAGCACTGCTAAACCGCCACCTCGACCGTTCAATCTGTCAGCACGGATAACATCGTAATTCGGGAGGGCTAGCCGATCTCCCGGATTAAGCAACGTTTCCTGCATTAAGGCTACATCTATGCCGTTACACAAAAGAGCTTGATGAAGTTCCCGTTTTTTGGGAATGTCCCTTAGGCCCAAACAATGCCAAAAAAGAATTTTGAGAAATACAGGCTGTCAACTATTGTGCATAGCCATTTACAGGAAAGATCGCCTGCAAAGCTTGAGTAGCGCTAGTCAAAGGACTTATTATTTGTTGTAAGGACCTTAGCGCGATTGCCAGGTCCACATTTTGCGCGTTCAAGGGAGGTTGAGCAGAGGGGGCAGACTAGGTTGCTTCCCTAGTTGCATCCGCTTATGACAGGTTGCGCCTTTGCGCTATAACTTGCAAATTCCTCCTTGGGGTGAACTTGCAAGTCGGGCTGTTTGCGGGATGGCCTTCTCCTCAGTTTGTACACCGGCGCTCTTCCTGACCTGTGAGGGGGCACAAATGCGTCATGTGGTCCTTGGCACATCTTAGGCATTTGGGTGGTGCAGTGCAGTATGACTGCGCATGCCCGTACTTTTGGCAGCGGTGGCACTGCAATGAGTCTGGAGTTCTTCCGAACCTCAACTCGAATGGCCAGTCCCAGCAGTTCGTGTTCATTGAATACTTGCTGGGACTTTTCACTCGTGGGCAGACTCACGACCACCAAAGCCATGGGCGCGCCGCCACTGCGCCTCAATCGAATAACATGGAGAGGGCTAGATCTCCTCTGCTTAAGTTCTTCCTTAATCTCAGAATCCGAAAAGTTGCCGGGAACTCCCCGAACCATAGCGTGGATGTTCCGTTCCGAAGGGAGAGGAAAAGTGTGATGGGGCACTTCTTCCTCTCGGAACAGTCGAACGATCTTACGATAGTCTTCCTCAGATATAGGTATAATCCTTATTCCCGCATCGACAGCAACCGCGCGATCTATTTTATTGGCTAGGGAAATGAATTTGTAGTTAAACGTACGCCAGCCACCTCGCTCCATCACGCAGAATAATAGGCGTTACGCGCCTTTGGCGTGAAGGTTGGCTTGATGCCACGTCGGCTGAGCGAGATGGCTGAGGAGAAGTGACATTGGCCGACGGAGTGACCTTAGAGGTAGATAGTGTAGTCCCTCCGCCAAACGATGACAGAGGTTTGGTAGCAGACATAGTGTTACTGATATTTTGTTTTGATGAAACGGGGGAGGTGCGTAAAAGGGTGGATTTAGTATTTGGAAGAGGTGGAAGGTCCTCGGCTCAGTCTTGTTGCTTCTCCTCCTTCTAGATTATGCGTTTATAAATCCGTCTGTGTGTTATCTCCTGCGGATGTATATTGATCGTCGGTAATGGTCCGTATGCAGTCCCACTCTATGTCTGTCGCTGCTGACCGGCAGATCGACGGTGGCTGGGGAAAGATGACACGACGCTAAGACGCCAATGCTCTAAAAACCGATTCAACGCAGCGCAATAAGACGTTATATTTGTTTGTTACTTAAGATTGTTGGAATATATATTTATTACTGCAAGTAGTATTGATCGACTAGCGGCTCACCATCTTAGACAACATCAGAAGTGTGTGTTTTACGGTGGTTCCCAATTTTAGCAAATATTCTGCAGGCTGTTGTTTGCTCAGAGATTGGACAAGATGCCAAAGCAAAAGCAAAGGAAATCCAGAAAACGAAGTAGAAGAGAACCTTCCTCGTCTTCAACAACCAGTAGTTCTTCCGGCAGTTCTAGCAATAGTAATGGGCATAAACATAAGAGATCCAGGTGTAAGTCAAGGGAAACCGTGAGTAGCGAACATTATTCTACTTTTACGAGGGCCGATCAGGGAATACATATTTCGATGGTAATTCCAGAATTTGATCCGAAAATTAATGACATATCAGAGTGGTTAGAGGATATCAAATCTCATACAATCAAATATCACCATCCAACCTGAAAATTGAAGCGGTGGAACAATTTCCTTGTCCTAAGACACAACATCAACTGAGACAGTTCTTGGGTCTCGTCGGCTATTTTCGGAAGTTCTTAAAAGATTTTGCGCGAATTACCGCCCCATTGACGAAGCTATTAAAGAAAGGAAGTCGGTGGTCTTGGACAGAAGTTCACACACAAATAGTCAAAGATTTAAAAGCCAAAATTTGTGCAGAACCTATTTTGGCAATATTTAATATAAAAGCACTGACAACCGTATATACGGATGCTAGTCGTGATGGTTTTGCAGGAATTTTGATGCAAAGTACAGATGGTAAAGAGAGACCAATAGCGTATTTCAGTAGGCAAACTAATACCGCTGAGAAAAATTATCATTCTTTTGAGTTGGAACTATTAGCAATAGTCAAAACTTTGGAACGGTTCAGATTTTATTTAGTAGGCTATCAGTTCCAAATTTTTACTGATTGCAATGCGGTAAAGAACGCATTATCTAAGCAGTCGATAATTCCAAGAATTGCTAGATGGGTCTTGTCCTTACAAGAGTTTTCTTTTACCATTCACCATAAAGCAGGTACTCAGATGCAACATGTAGACGCACTTAGCCGAAACTTTAATGAATCTCAAAACAAAGCACAAGTCCTACTCATCCAAGAAGATGACTATCTCAGGGAAGCACAGGATCAAGATGAATCCATAGTGGAAATTAAAAATATTCTTTTAAGTGGGGATGTTCAGAGTCACAAAGATGTTTTTAATAATTACGATTTAAGGGGGAACAAAGTCTATAAGTTAACACCTTATGGGAGAAGATGGGTAGTCCCAAAGAAGTGTAGATGGCAAATCGTCAAAGCAAACCATGACGATATAGGTCATTTTGCGGTTGATAAAACGTTAGAGAAAATTAAGCAACGGTATTGGTTTCCCAGAATGAGGCATTTCATAACAAAATACATAAATGCATGTTTACCTTGTTTATATCATAAAGATAAAGGGGGCAAAAGACCCGGGTACCTTCACTCCATCCCAAAGTATGCTAGACCACACCACACACTACATATAGATCATTTAGGACCTTTTGTGAACACAAAACAGGGAAACAAGTATTTAATAGTTGTTGTTGATGGCTTTTCGAAATTTGTGTATTTAAAAGCAGTTCCTGATACATCTGCAAAATACGTAATTCAAATGTTAACTGAAATGTTCGCGATGCTCGGTAACCCAAGACGACTCATCACGGATCTTGGATCTGCGTTTACTTCAAAGGTCTTCGAGGAATTTGTTGCTGCAAGAGGGATACGGTTATTTACAACAGCTGTTGGTCTCCCAAGAGGCAATGGTCAATGTGAGCGGACGAACAGAACAGTTCTAGACGCTTTAGCAACATCTGGTTCGCAAACAAGTGAAGACAATTGGGATACTAATCTTTCACATATACAACAAGGACTGAATAGTACTAGACACCGTATTACACAAAACACGCCCGCAGAAGTAATGTTTGGTTTCCAACTACGGACTGATAGTGACAAATACCCTGATGACGATATGGAAACAACTCTAGATGTTACAAAAATCCGAAAAGAGACAGCCAAACGTCTGGAACACAATAGAATCGAACAAGATTTAAAATTTAACACTAAACGTTCTCTACCTAGGTTGTACCAGGTGGGAGATGTGGTATTAACTAAAGTAACCAGCTTTTCAGCGAATGAAGACAGTAAAAAGTTACGTCCTAAGTTTGGAGGACCATTCAAGATAGTTGAGGTTCTACCCAATGACAGGTATAGAGTGCAAGAAGATCGTTTCACACAGAGGTCAAGGCGACCATATCAAGCTGTGGTAGGTGTGGAACACATGAAACCCTTCAAAGTTCAAAATCAATAAGGTGAGTAAGGAACTACTCAAATGTTACGCCCTCAATGGCATCTGTTCTGCTCTCAATGGCAAATGTTACGCCCTCAATGGGATCTGTTCTGCTCTCAATGGCAAATGTTACGCTCTCAATGGCATCTGTTCTGCTCTCAATGGCAAATGTTACGCCCTCAATGGCATCTGTTCTGCTCTCAATGGCAAATGTTACGCCCTCAATGGCATCTGTTCTGCTCTCAATGGCAAATGTTACGCCCTCAATGGCATCTGTTCTGCTCTCAATGGCAAATGTTACGCCCTCAATGGCATCTGTTCTGCTCTCAATGGCAAATGTTACGCCCTCAATGGCATCTGTTCTGCTCTCAATGGCAAATGTTACGCCCTCAATGGCATCTGTTCTGCTCTCAATGGCAAATGTTACGCCCTCAATGGCATCTGTTCTGCTCTCAATGGCAAATGTTACGCCCTCAATGGCATCTGTTCTGCTCTCAATGGCAAATGTTACGCCCTCAATGGCATTGTTCTGCTCTCAATGGCAAATGTTACGCCCTCAATGGCATCTGTTCTGCTCTCGATGGCAACTGTTACGCCCTCAATGGCAAGTTTTGCTCTCGATGACGAATGGTCGTCCTCGATAGCAAATGGTGTTGATGGCAATAGGTATAGGTGTTTCCTAAATAACTTAATATTTTCAGACGTTCGGGACGAACGTGACGTCAGGATGGCCGTGCAGTCCCACTCTATGTCTGTCGCTGCTGACCGGCAGATCGACGGTGGCTGGGGAAAGATGACACGACGCTAAGACGCCAATGCTCTAAAAACCGATTCAACGCAGCGCAATAAGACGTTATATTTGTTTGTTACTTAAGATTGTTGGAATATATATTTATTACTGCAAGTAGTATTGATCGACTAGCGGCTCACCATCTTAGACAACACGTAGCGGTCTCTTTCGGCTGTTGGTCCGTTCTTTGGGGGATTCTTTCGAACTTACTAGACGAGTTACTTGGGCGGTCAGGCTGTCAATTTTAGCCGTCTGGCCTTTGAGTTCTCGGATTTGCCTCGCCTGGTCGTCTATAATCCTCAGCAGTTTCTCGTTGCTTTTCTGCTCCGATGACATCTGCGTCAATGGGTCCATGCTTTCAGTTTTTGAACGGGATTCGCCGCCGCTCAGCTCCTTCCCCATTTTCAGAAGTATTGCTTCCTCTTTGAACCCTCCTGGGTCAACCTTCATATAAAAATAGCTTTCTCTTTCCAACTCGTAAAAACTTTTCAGCTGGAAAATGTGACAATGTTGTCAAAACCCTTCTCACAGGGCGTTTTTAACAGCTCATTTTTTCACAGATTATCGATACATCGAGGTTTTCTATGCGATGTTTTTATACATCACAGGGGTATTACGTATCTTTAAAAGTGATATTATGTCGGTTGTTTTTGGCATCAATTAGGTTTTTTTGTGGCAAGATGTTAACTGAGCACATCTGCTGTAGCTCGTTCCGTAGATTCATCCATATGACATTCGTAGACCGACGAATCTAATCCATGAAGTGAGAAATGCTCCATGAATTTTGCAATGAGCAGTGGAGCGACTTTCTGGCGGAGATGTTTGACTCAAGCATTCCTCTCCGGAAAGTGGCAAAATCGCTCAGAAACGGAAGGCAAGAACAACTACCATATATTCATGAGCCTGGAGGCATAGTTTTCAGGACTGAGGATAAAGTGGAGGTTTTTGCTGACGTCATGGAAAGGCAGTTCTCCCCCAATAATGATCTGGACAATGTGACCTTGACGAGGAACGACAAATTGTAAGATCTGTCAGGAGATATTTCAGAACAAATGGCGACAAGAACATCAGTGCTAACATCGGTGACTCCGTTTCGGAAGAGTCTTCTATGGAAGACTCCTGAGATGAATCTCTGCATAGTACATCAGCGGAATCCTCTGTGGTTCCGTTTTGCACACCAGCAGAGCTTCAAGGCCACATTAAGGACCTAAAGGTGCTTAAACTACTTGGAGAGGATCAAATCACCAACAAAGCACTTAAGCTGCTTTCGCTCAGGGCTTTGGTCATGGTCCCAAAGAAGGTGGGTTCGATATTCCCCCAGGATTATCGTCTTATTAGCCTGCAACTCCTTCCAAGCTCGCTGAAAAGGTTATTTACCGTCACCTTGAAAATTTCTCATCAAATCATCATGTCAGTCCTGACGTGCAATTCGGCTTTCGGTCTGAGCATAGTACGGAGCTACAGGCAGTTAGACTGGTGGAACATGTAACCAGGGGGTTCACCCTCAACAAAAGTACTGGTATCTTGCTCTTAGATGTATCAAAGGCATTTGACAAGGTGTGGCACACGGGCCTCTTGCATAAGCTCATCCAAAAGGGCTTTCCATTATGGCTACTAAAACTGTTGAAATCTTTTCTAGAAGGAAGGAAATTTTAGATCAAAGTTAACAGTGTTTTGTGAACAACACGACACGTAAAAACCCGTGTTCCTCAGGGTTTGGTCTTAGAACCAATGCTATATAAAATTAGTTGCGCATCGGCTTTTTCTTATTTAACCTGGAAATTAAATATGCAAACTTGCTGAATTTGAATAAAGAAGCCGATAAGAAAATGAAATCCCTGGTTGGTGAAGTACCTAAATATATTAAAACTAACATGTGAGAAAATATAGTACATACGATAATATTTATGAAACGTTAAAAAGTTATTACATTTCACATTAATTTTTATTTACCCATCATTCAAACTTTATAGAAATTTATTTCACGATGTCAAGTAGAAAATACAAATCAGCGCCTAAATGTGAGGCAGTGCGAAAATATTTTGTATGTGATGCGTCATTCCTAATTTTCCTGTAATGTGGCTTAATTAAACACAACGCGGGTGCTTCTTGACTGTTCGAAAACTTTGAACATAACCTCTCTTCAGAAAGGACAACACAAAAGCCCGTCTGACACAGCTAATAGATATATTTTATGGCATATCTCAGAGAATGCTTTTAGTAAAGATTAGGGCGAACAGCAAAATTATAAACATAATATAGATATATGCACCAGAAGATTGCAATCCTGACAGCGATAAAGAAGAATTCTATGATGAGCTCCAAACATTAGTGGAAAAAGAAGTAAAGCAAAATGAATTACTTATATTATTGGGAGATTTCAATGCCAGAATAGGAGATGAAGTAATACCTGGAATAAAACAAAGGTTTAACGAAAGAGTCATCAATGAGAACGGAAAGAGAATGGTTTACATCAAACGAACTGAGAATAACCAACACATTTTTTGATCATAAAATTCAACACAAATACACATTTGAAAATACAAGAGGACAGAGATCAATGATAGATTATATGGTCACAAACAGACATATTCACCATTAACAGATAGCGGATGTGAGAGTTTTGACGTCACCCAACGTGGTAAGCGATCACTATTTGGTACTTGGTAAAATTATATTCAATGAAAGATGAAAAGAGACGATTAAACACACTAGTGCAGAAGGTGAAAATAGAAAATATCGCAAATTCAAGCAATGTAGAAACTAGCTGGAGAAAATTAAGAAAAATATTCTGGATGCTGCCCGAGAAGCCCTTGGAACGAAAATAATAAACAGAAACAAAAAGTGGTCAACGAAAACACCATGGTTTACACTAGAGGTTAAACAAAAATGTCACCAAAAAAAGAAAGCTTTCCTAAAATATAAGTCAGATAAAACCAATGAATCATATGAAGAATATAAAAGAATAAGAACTGAAACTCATCAATTGGTAAGAAAAACAAAAACAGATTACTGGGAAAGATTCACAAAAGGATTAGAGATGGATTTCTACGGACAATAGAAACAAGTATGGCGCTTCATAAGACAACAAAGAAGCCAAATGAAAGAACTAGTTGAAATAGAACACATAAAAGAGGATACATGGACGGCCTTCCTGACAGAAACGTATAAAAAAGAAAACGAAGCATCTATACCAGAAACGCCAAATATAATGACTGATGAAAAGACTGAAATCTTCCAAGAAGATGTGAAACAAGGAATAAATAAATTAGAAAATAGAAAGTCACCAGGAGAAGATCAAATACCAAATGAACTCTTAAAATATGGAGGTGAATACCTTGTACAACAGCTGCAACTCCTCATTCAAAAAATAATCACCACGAACAGAATACCAGATGAATGGAGCAGACCGATCATGCTGATGTTCTTCAAGAAAGGAGATAAGAAAGACCCCAATAATTATCGAGCAATAAATCTGTTAAATACAACACTCAAATTGACAATAAGAATAATAGCGACAAAAATAAACGAACGAATAACTTTGCAATAGGAACAGCAAGGATTCCGGGCAGGAAGATCATGTACGGATGCAGTTTTTGTAATAAAACAAATAAAAGAAAAGTCACTGGAATACAACAAACCAGCATATAAGCGTTTGATAGAGTGAGAATTCGGGACGCGATACATTTAATATATGACAGGGGAATACCACTGGACTTAGTAAAAACTATTGAGAATATATATACAGATAACATAGCTATGGTAAGATGTAAAGGATAACTCTCGCAACCTATCAAGTATGAAACTGGCATTAGACAAGGAGATTCGCTGAGCCCACTAATATTTAATCTGATAATTGATGAAATCATAAAGAAAGTTAAAAAAAGAAGAGGATATAGAATGGGAGAAAAGTAAATGCAGAAAATATGCTACGCCGACGACGCCATAATAAGAGCCGAAAATGAAGATGACCAACAAAGATTGATTAAAGAATTCGAAGATACCGCGTTCATATACAACATGGTGATTTCAAAAGAGAAAACTAGATCGATAGTGATATCAGCGGAACCGAGACGATGTAAACTGATCGTATATAACAAAATAATAGAACAACTGATGGAAACGGAATACTTGGGAATCAAACTGTCAAGCTATGGAAAAGTGGAAGAAGAAGTACAAAAACAAGTGAACACGGCGAACAGAGCAGCAGGTTGTCTCAACAATACAATCTGGAGAAACAAATACCTTACAACGGAAATAAAAACTAGGATATATAAATCAACAATAAGACCGATAATGACGTACACGGCGGAAACAAGTGCAGATACGGCGAAAACACAAAGATTATTGGAAACAGCAGAAATGAAAGTCTTACGAAAAGTAACAAACCAAACTCCAAGAGACAGAGTAAGAAGTGAGGAAATACGAGCAAGATGTAGAATAGAGGAAATAAACCTGTGGACCAAAAGAAGAAAAATAGAATGGAATCAACACATAGAAAGAATGACAGAAAATAGATCAGTACGAATAGCAACTTACAAATCGCCAAATGGAAGAAGATCAATGGGACGACCGAGGAAAAGATGGTCAGACAACATCAATTGAGGCTGAAAACCGAAGTAAAACAGGCATGAGCCTATTAATAAAGTAGGAAGAAGAAGAAGGCAAATATCACTGATCTTATATACACGCAGATCGATACACACAATCATTTAGATGTGATGTTGCTACCTTGCTACACATCTTCTCAGAGTATACTCTACAGAGTATCTTGCCATTCTGCTGCCAACAAAGCAGGATGGGAAGTTGACTTGCAGCTTGCAGCACAGTCATGTCGTTGAGTCACTCCTCGGTAGATGGACGCCCATAGCGAGCAAACGCGGAATGTACTATTTGCACACTAGGAACCGTCAAGTTGAAATTTGTCGTTTTTTTAACGTTTTTGAGGTTTCTTACACAATAGCATTGGCAATTTTCTTTCTCTTGAGACATCGATGCATCGTTTGACTAGACAAACTTGAAATGTGTTATGTTGAAGTATATAAGTGACACAATGTGCAACGCTCAACTAAGACAAACTGTCGGTTTGAAAGGTAATGATTTTAGTACCTGTAAAATGTTCCAAAATCTTCAAGGGTCACTTTACGCTAAAATATAGTATATTCAAGCATCAATTTTATTTGCCCGGATTTTAGCCTGTTATCTTGACCCGTTCAAAAAATATAATTATATTTTAGAAGGCACTACAGGTCATAATCTTTAGATACCAGCGTGGCTAAGTCTGGACTGTTGCCGCAGGTTATGAGATGAAGAGTTAGGGGTAATCTTTTTTGGGAAGCTGATGGCATCTCTAAAAATAAAGAGTTTTGACAGGAAAATTGACTAGGTTTTTGATACACCTTAGAAAATTTGATTTAACAGCATGGCCATGACGATGGACATTATATGTGAACGTTCAAATAAGTTTCGGCATCTTCTTGGTGAGTGCCTTAATGGATGCTTCTTATAAACACACATATGCACAC